GAGAGGGAGAGGGAGAGGGAGAGGGAGAGGGACGGACGGGGTTGGGGGGGATAACCTGGGTAGTGAGTATTTGCACACAGAATAACCCAGGGTAGGAATTGTTAGCCACAAAGGAAAACCCTGTGTAGGGGGTGTTACCCACACAGGATAACCCGGGGCAGCGAGTGTTAGCTACCCAAGATAATCTGGGGTAGGAAGTGTTAGCTGCACCGGATAACCCGGGGTAGCGAGTGTTAGCTACCCAAGATAATCTGGGGTACGAAATGTTAGTCACACACGATAACCCAGGGTAGGGAGTGTTATCCACCCAGGAAAACCCGGGGTAGGGAGTGTTAGCCACCCAGGATAACCCAGGGTAGGGAGTGTTAGCCACCCAGGATAACCCAGGGTAGGGAGTGTTAGCCACCCAGGATAACCCGGGGAAGGGAGCGTTATCCACCCAGGATAACCCGGGGTAGGGAGTGTTATCCACCCAGGATAACCCAGGGTAGGGAGCGTTATCCACCCAGGATAACCCGGGGTAGGGAGTGTTATCCACCCAGGATAACCCAGAGTAGGGAGTGTTATCCACCCAGGATAACCCAGTAAAGTCAGTACATCATCGATTATTGTCTTACTTCCATTGTCGTCCTTTAGGTCTGTCCTCAGAATGCTACGCCCACCAATAAACTAACGCAGAGGTACCTACTTACTGTTAGGTGAACATGGTGCAAGATGACTAACACACGTACTGCTAGGTAAGCAGAGACAGCAAGTGTAAGGAAATATGCCCAACGATTCCACTCGTGCCAGGAATCGAACACTGGACACTCAGAAAGAGAGGTGAGTGAGCTATCAACCGAACCATGGGACAGTATACAAGAAAATTTGCAGCAACACAATAAATTTGTTTGATTTTATCCACTTCGTGAGATACATAAGTAAATGAAAACTGAAGTCGTTCAGTAGTGATATACTCGAGTATATGAAGTGTGATTAAAGGAGAAAAAATCCGCTCGGACGAAAAGTATTTTTTTCGATGAACCTGGGCCTAAAGTTTCTTCACGAGGCGTCTACATACACCATACCTTCACCAGCAACTGTAAATCATCAGTTCACTACGCACCAACACCATTTGAAACAGTCATAAACCCTACCAACGACCAAGTTGCCTTGAACATCTCCCAAGTGCTTGAACAAGCCTACACCAGAGTCGCCATCGCAACCATCCGGAAAGGTAAGTAAGTAAGTAAATTTATTCAGGTATACACAAATACAGTTACATAGAATTATCATACATAGCAGCATATGTGTAGAGAACCTAGGATAACCCAAAAAAGTCAGACAGAGTGACTTATTTCCATTGGGGTCCTTTTACCTTATTATTATAATATAAAGGTTATAATATTTTCTTATTATTCTACAATGAAGATAACATCTTATTATCATACTAAAAAGACTATCTACTACACGAGGGTCATTAAGACTATCTACAATACGAGGGTCATTACTAGGAATAAGGTAAAATTTACACGTATTTTAGCTAAAAAATAGAAAATCATTCCCCTCCCTTTCTGTAGCTTCATTCATCAGACACTTTTTGGCAGTCTTCTTGAACTGGTTCATGCTATGACTGGCTTTGGCATGTGCGGGTAGTCTGTTCCATTCCTTTATTGTTGTACAATAAAAGGTGTTTGACGCCTGGCCACTGACTGTGGGTACTAAAAAGTTGTGCTCTCTCCCCCTAGTACTATGATTGCTTTGGTTCCCAACCTTGACAAAATTGACAGCAAGATATTCTGGACACTGTTCGTGAGCAATTTTATAAACATGATTTAGCTTCAGTTGTTTTACTCTGTCTTCAACATTCAGCATATCCAACTGCTGTAATTCATCCTGGCCTACATGTTCTCTTGGTCCCAGCCCCAGGATGAATCTTACGATTTTGTTCTGGGTGATTTGCAGTCTATCTTTCAGTTTTTTTGTCAAGGCAGAGTACCATGAAGAGCAAGCGTAATCCATATGGCATTGTATAAGGGCTAGACATAGGGTCCTGCGAGCCTCAGTAGGTAGACACTGTGCTTGTCTATACAGAAACTTCAGTCTGGCATTCGCTTTCTTTACTACACTGTTCCCTATCAATTCTCCTGACATGCATGGGTCAAAGGGGATTCCCAGATATTTTACTGATGAAACCAAAGTGATGGACTCCCCGTTACACTGAACATTAAAATTATTTACCCTTCTCAGTTTATGTTTCGTTCCAAAGAGAATGGCTTCAGTTTTCCCTAGGTGTAATGATAGTTTGTTGTCTACTAACCATTTGCTGCAGGACTCCAGTTCCAGTGTTAAAACATTAGCAATATCTTGTGGGTCTTTACCTGTCACTAACAGAGCACTGTCATCTGCATACAGTAGGAGTTTGCACTTGACACTGATAGGCATATAGCACCTACGGAATGGAAGGCATTCAGATTCAATCCAAGCAAAGGGAGGATAAGTCCAATTCCTTGGATCTAGAGCCCCCCTCACCGGCATCAATTTGAAAATAATGCAATAAGGTAAAATAGTACTGTACCATTTCGAGATTATAAGTGGCGAAATGACATCCCCACACACTCCGTTAAATATACCAATTTTCTTTTAATTAGGATGTACTCCAGCTCCTGGACCTCTTACGGGGGTTGAACTGTATGTACTAATAATTTTTGTAATTTCTCTCTAAAAAGCTTACGATTAGCTTATGAGTGAGTTATGGTAGAGGAGACTGCTTCATGTATCACACGGAACACCTAGTGTGTTATGGTAGAGGAGACTGCTTCATGTATCACAGGGAACACCTAGTGTGTTATGGTAGAGGAGACTGCTTCATGTATCACAGGGAACACCTAGTGAGTTATGGTAGAGGAGACTGCTTCATGTATCACAGGGAACACCTAGTGTGTTATGGTAGAGGAGACTGCTTCATGTATCACAGGGAACACCTAATGTGTTATGGTAGAGGAGACTGCTTCATGTATCACAGGGAACACCTAGTGTGTTATGGTGGAGGAGACTGCTTCATGTATCACAGGGAACACCTAATGTGTTATGGTAGAGGAGACTGCTTCATGTATCACAGGGAACACCTAGTGAGTTATGGTAGAGGAGACTGCTTCATGTATCACAGGGAACACCTAGTGTGTTATGGTAGAGGAGACTGCTTCATGTATCACAGGGAACACCTAGTGTGTTATGGTAGAGGAGACTGCTTCATGTATCACAGGGAACACCTAGTGTGTTATGGTAGAGGAGACTGCTTCATGTATCACAGGGAACACCTAGTGTGTTATGGTAGAGGAGACTGCTTCATGTATCACAGGGAACACCTAGTGTGTTATGGTAGAGGAGACTGCTTCATGTATCACAGGGAACACCTAGTGAGTTATGGTAGAGGAGACTGCTTCATGTATCACAGGGAACACCTAGTGAGTTATGGTAGAGGAGACTGCTTCATGTATCACAGGGAAGACCTAGTGTTTTATGGTGGAGGAGACTGCTTCATGTATCACATGGAACACCTAGTGAGTTATGGTAGAGGAGACTGCTTCATGTATCACAGGGAACACCTAGTGAGTTATGGTAGAGGAGACTGCTTCATGTATCACAGGGAACACCTAGTGAGTTATGGTAGAGGAGACTGCTTCATGTATCACAGGGAACACCTAGTGTGTTATGGTAGAGGAGACTGCTTCATGTATCACAGGGAACACCTAGTGAGTTATGGTAGAGGAGACTGCTTCATGTATCACAGGGAACACCTAGTGTTTTATGGTGGAGGAGACTGCTTCATGTATCACAGGGAACACCTAGTGTGTTATGGTAGAGGAGACTGCTTCATGTATCACAGGGAACACCTAGTGTGTTATGGTGGAGGAGACTGGTTCATGTATCACAGGGAACACCTATTGTGCTATTGTGGAGGAGACTGCTTCATGTATCACAGGGAACACCTAGTATGTTATGGTAGAGGAGACTGCTTCATGTATTACAGGGAACATCTAGTGAGTTATGGTAGAGGAGACTGCTTCATGTATCACAGGGAACACCTAGTGTGTTATGGTGGAGGAGACTGTTTCATGTATCACAGGGAACACCTAGTGTGTTATGGTAGAGGAGACTGCTTCATGTATCACAGGGAACACCTAGTGTGTTATGGTAGAGGAGACTGCTTCATGTATCACAGGGAACACCTAGTGTGTTATGGTAGAGGAGACTGCTTCATGTATCACAGGGAACACCTAGTGTGTTATGGAAGAGGAGACTGCTTCATGTATCACAGGGAACACCTAGTGTGTTATGGGAGAGGAGACTGCTTCATGTATCACAGGGAACACCTAGTGTGTTATGGAAGAGGAGACTGCTTCATGTATCACAGGGAACACCTAGTGTTTTATGGTAGAGGAGACTGCTTCATGTATCACAGGGAACACCTAGTGTGTTATGGAAGAGGAGACTGCTTCATGTATCACAGGGAACACCTAGTGTGTTATGGTAGAGAAGACTGCTTCGTGTATCACAGGGAACACCTAGTGTGTTATGGTGGAGGAGACTGCTTCATGTATCACAGGGAACACCTAGTGTGTTATGGTAGAGGAGACTGCTTCATGTATCACAGGGAACACCTAGTGTGTTATGGTAGAGGAGACTGCTTCATGTATCACAGGGAACATCTTCCTCGGAGTTGAATCTTACTATGTTAAAAATGATGATCACGTAACATTTAAGCAAAAAAGTATTTTATTTTTGGTTTGGATCTAACATGGAAGAGAAGATGTGCTACGATAATAATAATAATAATAATAATAATAATAATAATAATAATAATAATAATAATAATAATAATAACAACAATTTATTGTACTTAACATTATTTGATCTCCATTACATAATTTAAACTTCATTGAATCTATATATAAATTATATTACAAAACCTCTTACGAAAATAAAATTATAAATAAATAATGAAAGGGAATACTCACGTTTGGGAGAGTTTCAAAGACGGGCCCAATAAAGAGTAAGACAAACAGCAGTAAGAAGCAACAGACGAAGGAAGTTATCTGTGTAACACCACCAGCAGCTTCCTGTATGAGAGAGCGAGCCAGTGACACAGCGATGGGAGCACAACCGAAGAACGATGCAAACACGTTACTGGCGCCCTGGACGTTAAAAGAAACATTAAATCTTGCAAAACTTCGTAACGTCAATTGTATATAATATTGTCAAGTAGAAGTATTAGACACAGTTGCAACTGAACCATAGATTACGATTCTGAACAGCTGATGCCAAGCTGAGAGACTGATTACCTCATCTTCACATTCTTAAGTCTGCTGTTTTTGTCCCTGTGTTGTAATGATACAACCACTGGTTGGCGGAACGTCAGTAAAATAACGATACCCAGCTGTTGAAACTGTGTCTAAAACGTTAACTTGCCAAACTTATTACAAATGCATGTATATCATATATCAACTGCCTTGCTGGAGTAACGATATTTGTTTTTGAAGTTAGGGAAAAACTGACATGTCTACAAGAAACAAAAGCTTGGGAAGACACGTATATGCCTAAACAGAAAGAATAAAACGGGTACACAAATACCCGCACATAAAAGAGAGAAGCTTACGACGACGTTTCGGTCCGACTTGGACCTTTGTCAATGGTCCAAGTCGGACCGAAACGTCGTCGTAAGCTTCTCTCTTTTATGTGCGGGTATTTGTGTATCGTTCCAGTCACGGTATTGTGCCTTTTTGTTATTTATTAATAAAACGGGTAAAGCACTGTTGTGGAAGTGTTAACTAACAGGAGGAAGTGTTAACTAACAGGAACAGTGGGTGTTAATTTTGTTTTGCTGAAATCAGAATTTTGCTCTGATTTCTTCATGGGTCTTTTCCCAAAATCCGTGGATCCTGATGGCGCATACCAACAACCATAGTAAATAAAATACAGATTATAATAAGTTCTTATTGGGACAACGTATTCCTCGTTGCAGAGCTTTGTCTGGTCATGATAAGGCTCTGCACTGAGTAAAAGTTTACTCCAATAAAAGCTAACTCAACGACCTGGATCCTGTCTTCTCCATTGTTGGCACTGAATGTTCAATGTTTGTTATTACTCTGCTCTTCAATTAGTTTTATTGCAATGGGATGCACGTTTGTCTTAAACAACTGAGTTATCTGCTCACCTTCTTGTTTATATGTTTTGCTAAGGAAGATAACAATGATATAAATTACATTTTTTTTTGCAAGATAACAATGGTCAACTAGACCGACTGAAACTTGATCATTGCTCCACTACTGGTGGTGCTTGCAAAATTTATTATGAAGACTGACAATTGCACAGACACTTCAACAGACAGATACAGAGACACAGACACAGACACCAAAGTGGAGAAACAGGGATATACTTGGGAAGGATGGGGGGAAAGAAACAGCACATAAGGGACAAATTTTCTTCTATATGCTGGTGTATTTGTGTATTGTTCAGGTCACTTTATTGTGCCTTTTATTTTTTATTTTTCTTCAAACGAAAGATTTATGTGTGTGTTAAAGATGTATGTCTGACTTAAATATCATTATAATCACCTTCGGAAGTTTCTTTTTCTGTTGATTACCTGTTCAAGCAGGCTGTTGCAGTTTTGGAGATGGAGATAATGCCAAAGGTGAGTGTGACTTCTATTGGAAGAAAGTCTTATTGAACAAATGCTAAAGAGTTGCAGAAGAATTACTTTGTACAAAGGTATCATTGGGAAGTGTTCTGCAACTTCTTTGCTGCACACCTGCTTAACGTGCATTACTGCCACTAATTGGCCTCGCTCACCTGTGACATCAACTCCAACTATTTCACCTTCCTCTTGCTCTAGTATTATTAGTAAGGTTTTTCTGCATGCACATGCTTTTGGTTTGCGGGACTTATCACCTGCTATCATGGGTAACGGATTGATCACGTCATAACTAATGCCTCAAACAAGTCTGTTGTGCAGGCGTAACGTTCCGACAGTAGAGATACCCAAGTGTTTCTCATGTGTCTTATTCATCAACTTGTTGATATTGTGTACCAACAATATCACGATAATCGTCGGACACAGTAAGACCATAGTGTCTTGGTACACGGGAAGTCTTAGGTAACTCCGTCGCTTAGTAGCTCTTGAGCACAACCTTTCACTAGTGGGGCACGCATATCTGGCATTACCTCCAGCTGCTACACCTCACTTCTGGTCTAGTCTATGAGGTCTAATTGTCGTTTTATTCGTCAGGACTGAGCAAATGTCTCCTGACACGGGTCTTAATCATATAGATGTCCCATTTAAGTATACTAGGTCTAGCCTCATTCCTCTGTTTTTGGTTTGAGTGACTGACCACCTCCTACCAACGGTGACAGGTTGACCATGTCAGTCCACTCCTACTGCCACTCCAGTATCAACCTGTATTCGACTAAAGAAGCTTGAAGTACAGGCGAAATATTTGGCAATAAAGATACCAGGTGTTGCCCATGTGTCTTATTTATCATAGTTGTGTAAATATTTTGACATAAATCTAAGATACTGTTCAGGAGATATAAAATATGTTTAACATGGCATGTAACGTTGGGACAGAACAGGTGAAGAAGAAAGAATGATGACTTGCGAACACTCAGTTGATGAAAATAAATATAATTAATAGTGCGACCTAGTTACCTGTCCTGCTCTAGTTATTTAGATGGAATTCAGTGTAATTGGTTTTCAGTCCCACGGAGGTAGGTGGTTAATATTTTTTTCAATTATAATACTAATATTCAAAAATTTCACTTCATAACTTACATGCACTATATGAAAAGCTGAAATAAGTTTTAAATTTAATCTTACCATAGCATAAAGTTCCTGATTTGCATCGACATTATAGTTATGACGCTTGGCAAAGATCCTGGCCATGGAGAAGGAGACAACATAAGCCACTACACTGATCACTACAGAATCCACAAGCACTGCTGACATCAACTCCACAGGTGGTATAGCTGGTTTAGGTAATCTGCCAGAAGACATTAATATTTAATTTATACGATTTTTAATATTTCCTTCTGATTCGGGATGCAATATACTTCCTTTTAAATTATGTTTTTACCCTCTTCATTGAAAGTACTGGCAGTTTATGACAAGCTGTTTGTGAAGAACGACAATAAGAAGTATATATAGTTAGCCATTAAGGGACAGGGATACACATACAGCCTGTAATCCTATTATCCACCCGTGGATCTGCCACAGTTGATAAGATTAGTTAAACTGCCAATATTCTTGTTTTTTCAATTCTTTTTTCAAGCAACGTGATAGTAAAGAAAAGCAAGATGAAAGGGGAAGAATGATAAAAAAAACTTTAAATAAGAAAGGAACCAAAAATACTTAAAAGAAGTAGAAACTCACAAAGAATGTTCACAAAAACTATTTATTATTACAGAAGAAGAATCCAGTAAGACAGAATAGGAGAGCAAATAATAAAAAAATCTAAAGCAATATAAATGGAGAAAAGACTGATGTTTTGTCGGCTGTCCTCCAGTTTGTTGATGTAGAAGTGACTCTAAACAATCAATTTCTTTCTACAATCAGTTCGCAAATTTATTCAAATATACAAGACATGAATTAAATGGTAAGCATGTAAATTAAATTAGTAACTGGCTGGTGTGATGTTTGTAATAATTTATTATGATCGACATTCATTCATTGCAACTTAAATCGAGTTCATTAGTCTATTGTTTAGAGAAAAGTGATCTGGCACGGGAATATTGATTCTAGGTTGATCCAGTCATAAGATGATCCAACCATAAGATTATCCTGTCGTACGGTGATCCAGTCATAACATGATCGAGTCATAAGATGATTTAGTCAGTGGTACTGGTACTGTGACACATTCAGTGGTACTGGTACCATGACACATTCAGTAGTACTGGTACTATGACACATTCAATGGTACTGGTAACATGACAGTCAGTGGTACTGGTACTATAACATTCAGCAGTACCAGATGGTGGTGTTTCTGGCTTGGCTACTGAAGGTTGTAGTGCAGTTCTAGGATCTGCACAAATTGGGAATGCGTCAACCACGAAGTTTATTCAACTAAAGCATAATGGTGTAAATTCTATATTTGGGGAATATATAAGCATGGAATTTCGGGAAAAACAAAAAGGGACATGCAACTTTGAGCATCCCAAAAAATGTCGCGACCTCCTGTCTAAAGTGTGTCATTGTACCTTCTGCAATTTTTTCCACTATGAAATGTGCTACTCTTCACTGTTACTATGACACATTCAGTGGTACTATGACACAGTGGTACTATGACACTGTCATTTTCCTCACGGTAGAAGGTTCCCGTATTCGTAGGTAGGAATTCAACCACCACACTAATGAGGTAAGGAACATTTTACATAACATTTGTGACTTTCTCAACCATATATTTACTTTATTCTGGTTAATCATAGTTTAACCCGGGGCGCTGAAAGGCAGGTTTGAAAAGTTTTAAGTACCTGGTTCATTCACTTGAAACTTGAAGGTATTTAGCTGCATTTTTTAAAATACTGAATCAGTTCTTTCCTCCGAGCTGTTAAATTTCTTTAATGTTTACACTGTCTACTTTCACATAATAGCATAGAAAAACGCCCTGTATCTTTGTGTACGAATGGTATACAATACCGACAAGATGAGATTAAGACACATGTGCAACATCTGGGTATCTTTATTGTAGACGTCTACAATAAAGATACCCAGATGTTGCACATGTGTCTTAATCTCGCCCTGTATCTTTATTCCTGTAATGTTTAATGTATTTATCTTTAAATCGCTCAGTGTAAAGATAATCTCTTAATTGCAAGTCTCTCCAGATCAAATCGGATAGATTTATTGAGTGAGAAACCACACCAATAGATCTGTTAAATAAATTCAGGTCTTTAGAATATTTTTAAGCTCTCGGGAGTTCAGTTGATGATACATATTGCTTTGTCGACCATTTCTAGAAAGACAGCTAGTTAATTGATGACGGATGCCTATGAATAAGATACTCTCGACGCTCCTACTAATGTTTGTCAGGTTAGGTAAGGTTCGTCAGGAAACAGGACAAGTGTTTCCTGAGGCGGGTCTTAGTCAGATGTTGACCCGCCGTTGGAGCTTTTGGTCATTTGACCGAGGCCTTACCCTGGTTTACCCGTCCACCCCTTTAAATATTACGGTTCATGGACGTCTTCGATGCGGAGTTATCACCACAGATTTCCACACAGTCTGACGAGGCTATGGATACAATCCATATTCCATGAATATTGACCATTGATATATAGCTAAAGATCAACAGACATTATTATCTTGATTAGTGGTTTTGTGTGTTAGTGTGTATTGTACTCAGCTATTTGTGGTTGCAGGGGTCGAGACATAGCTCCTGGCCCCGCCTCTTCACTGATCGCTAATAGGTCCTCTCTCTCCCTGCTCCATGAGCTTTATCATACCTCGTCTTAAAACTATGTATGGTTACTGCCTCCACTACATCCCTTTCTAGACTGTTCCACTTCCCGACAGCTCTTTGACTAAGGAAATGCTTCCTGACATCTCTTTGACTCATCTGAGTCTTCAGCTTCCAACTGTGACCCCTTGTTGCTGTGTCCCATCTCTGGAACATCCTGTCTCTGTCCACCTTGTGGATTCCTTTCAGTATTTTATGTTGTTATCGTATCCCCCCTATCTCCCCTGTCTTCCAGTGTCGTCAGGTCGTTTCTCTTAACCTCTCTTCGTAGGACATACCCATTAGCTCCGGGACTAGTCTTGTTGCAAACCTTTGCACTTTCTCTAGTTTCCTTACGTGCTTGGCTAGGTGTGGGTTCCAAACTAGTGTTTCATACTCCAGTATGGGCCTGAAGTACACGGTGCACAGAGTCTTGAACGATTCCTTACTGAGGTGTCGAAACGGTATTCTTAGGTTTGCTAGGCGCCCATATGCTGCAGCAGTTATTTGGTTGATGTGTGCCTCAGAAGATGTGCTCGGGATTATACTCACCCCACGATCCTTTTCCATGAGTGAGGTTTGCAGGCTTTGGCCCCCCTCGCCTGTACTCTGTCCGCGGTCTTCTTTTCCCTTTCCCAATCTTCATGACGTTGCATTTCGTGGGGTTAAATTCCAAGAGCCAGGTGCTGGACTAGGCTTGAAAACTAACCAGATCCCTTTGTAGTTCTGCCTGATCCTCATCCAATTGAATTCTCTTCATTAGCTTCAGATCGTCTACAAAGAGGAGTTTCCTTCCTGTCAAGTATTCTCTGATCCATTGCAGTGCCTTTCCTGTTATACCTGCCTGATCCTCTAGCTTTTGCGCTAATCTCTTGTGTGGAACTGTGTCGAAAGCCTTCTTACAGTCCTAGAAAATACAATCTACCTAACCCCCCCCCCCAACTCTCTCTCTCTCATATCTTACTTCCGTCACCTTGTCGTAAAACTCCAGTAGGTTTGTGACACAGAATTTCCCTTCCAAGTCACACTGGTCTGTAGTTTAATGCTGCGTGTTTGTCTCCTTTTTTTAAAAATTGGATCTACATTTGCTGTCTTCCACACCTTAGGTAGTCGGCCTGTTGCGATAGATGTGTTAAAGATTGTTGTTAATGGTACAAACAGCGCCTCTGCTCCCTCTCAGGGCCCACGGAGAGATGTTGTCCAGCTCCACAGCCTTTGAGGTATCTAGTTTGCTTAGCAGCCTCTTCACCACCTTCTCAGTTTTGTGTATTGTGTCCAGCCCCCTGTTGGTGAACTCCACCATTCCGGCTGTCTGGAGTCCTATCTGTCACCACTGAAAATAACTAGTGTGTGTGTGTGTGTGTGTGTGTGTGTGTGTGTGTGTGTGTGTGTGTGTGTGTGTGTGTGTGTGTGTGTGTGTGTGTGTGTGTGTGTGTGTGTGTGTACTAACATGTTTGTACTCGCCTATGTGTGGTTGCATGGGTCGATTCACAGCTACTGACCCTACCTCTTCGTTTGTCGTTAATTGGTCCACTCCAAGAGCTTTATCGTATCTCTTCTTAAAGTTAGTATGTATGAATCTTGTCTCCACTACTTCACTCTCCAGACTGTTTCACTTCCTGGCAACTGTAGGACTGAAGGAATATTCCTAGCATACCTGTGACTCTTCTGAAATTTTAACTTCCAGTTGCGTCCCCTTGTTTCTGTGGCCCATCTCTGAAACATTCTGACCCTGTTACCTTATCATTACCTCTCAGCATTTTATGCGTCGTTATGATGTACCGCAATCCCTCCTGTCCTCTAATGTCGTCAGGCTGAGTTTCCTTAACCTCTCCTCGTAAGACATACCTCTCTGCTACGGGTCTAGTCTTCTTGCAAACTCTAATTTTGTGACGTATTTGCCCCGGTGTGGGTTTCATCCTGGTGCTTCTTACTCCATTATGGGCCTGACATACACGGTGTACAGCGTCATGAATGACTCCATACTCACGTGTTGAAACGCTGTTCTGAGGTTTGTCAGGATATGATGCAGCAGCTATTTATGGTTGATTTGCGCCTCAGATGTGCTCGGTGTGTGTGTGTGTGTGTGTGTGTGTGTGTGTGTGTGTGTGTGTGTGTGTGTGTGTGTACAAAAAATATGCGAACACAAGTATGACAAAACTAACATCTTACAAATAATCACCATGTACTCACCCTGTAGGAACCTCACCCACAATTCTTATATTGTAAACATCGTGGAAGTTGTCCAGGTATGAGGTTAGAGTACCACTGATGATGACAATTAGTTCAATAGGGATGGGAATCTTGGTAAAGGTGCGAAACCATGGCTGTTGAAAGAAAAAAAAGAAACACAATGATTATCTTATTTAAAACACAGAAATTATTTTCAAAGCGGAGTACCAACATCCAGTTAGCTGACGTACACGGACTTAGAACTTATTTTACACGGTAATACTAATCTATAAACAAATAGAAATAAATGGTATAAAATACCGACACAATGGAAATGTAAACACATATGCAGTATAATGTGATCCTTTATTGACAACTTTTCACCCACGCAGTGAGCTTTATCAAGTCACAAACAGATCTGTTTGTGACTTGATAAAGCCCACTGTGTGGGCGAAACGTTGTCAATAAAGGATCATATTATACTGCTTAAGTGTTTATATTTCTATAAACATATAATTGCAGTTTCGTTACCAAATTTCTAACTATAGACAACACCTACAGTAGATAAACATAATGTCTAACAAACCACGGAACAGGTGAAGTTTGAACCAATAGCAACGGAGTCGTAAAACTCCAGGCCAGTGTTTAAGCCAATGAAATCTTATTGTAGCCAGCTGGCCCAGTGGCTCGCGCACTATCCTTTAAGTTTTATAACTCACGCGCCATGAGTTCAGAACCCACTCCTTCTGTTGCTCGTTTCCAGTTGTGTTACTACAGTTTGGTGAGTCATTATACCGAAATTACAATCATTGTTTATTGTGGATTAATAATAAAATAAAATCCCGATATTCACTGTCGATTTGGAAGTATCTTTTTTTTTTGGTAAATTATAATTAAAATACTGAATACAGTCATGTGGATCATACCCACAATGGGATCAGCACATGCAAAATAACCACAGTGAAAATTAGTGAAATTCTAACTGATTCGTGATTTCTCATATCAAGAAAGTGTCTTTGGTTTTTGAGAATGCCAGAAATCATGAGAGCAAATGGAATGTCATCATTTTTCACAATGTTTGTTTTGAAAATTATGAAATCCCCCGTTTCTTACTATCTTAATGTGTACTGTGTTCTATCTTATAATATAGTTGATGAAGTCATCATAGACAAGCAAATATTTTACTGCATTCTTTGCAATAGGACTTAAAGAATAGATGACTGTTGGTGGAAAGGATATAAGGCCTCAACGACCCTAGATATGCTGCCTTAACGACCCTGGATATGCTGCCTTAACGACCCTAGATATGCTGCCTTAACGACCCTGGATATGCTGCCTCAACGACCCTAGATATGCTGCCTTAACGACCCTGGATATGTTGCCTTAACGACCCTGGATATGCTGCCTTAACGACCCTGGATATGCTGCCTTAACGACCCTGGATATGCTGCCTTAACGACCCTGGATATGCTGCCTTAACGACACTAGATATGCTGCCTTAACGACCCTGGATATGCTGCCTTAACGACACTAGATATGCTGCCTTAACGACCCTGGATATGCTGCCTTAACGACACTAGATATGCTGCCTTAACGACCCTGGATATGCTGCCTTAACGACCCTGGATATGCTGCCTTAACGACACTAGATATGCTGCCTTAACGACCCTGGATATGCTACATGAACGGCCCTGGATATGCTGCCTTAACGACCCTGGATATGCTGCCTTAACGACCCTGGATATGCTGCCTTAACGACCCTGGATATGCTGCCTTAACGACCCTGGATATGCTGCCTTAACGACCCTGGATATGCTGCCTTAACGACACTAGATATGCTGCCTTAACGACCCTGGATATGCTACATGAACGGCCCTGGATATGCTGCCTTAACGACCCTGGATATGCTGCCTTAACGACCCTGGATATGCTGCCTTAACGACCCTGGATATGCTGCCTTAACGACCCTGGATATGCTGCCTTAACGACCCTGGATATGCTGCCTTAACGACCCTGGATATGCTGCCTTAACGACCCTGGATATGCTGCCTTAACGACCCTGGATATGCTGCCTTAACGACCCTGGATATGCTGCCTTAACGACCCTGGATATGTTGCCTTAACGACCCTGGATATGCTGCCTTAACGACCCTGGATATGCTGCCTTAACGACCCTAGATATGCTGCCTTAACGACCCTAGATATGCTGCCTTAACGACCCTGGATATGCTGCCTTAACGACCCTAGATATGCTGCCTTAACGACCCTAGATATGCTGCCTTAACGACCCTAGATATGCTGCCTTAACGACCCTGGATATGCTGCCTTAACGACACTAGATATGCTGCCTTAACGACCCTGGATATGCTGCCTTAACGACCCTGGATATGCTGCCTTAACGACCCTGGATATGCTGCCTTAACGACACTAGATATGCTGCCTTAACGACCCTAGATATGCTACATGAACGGCCCTGGATATGCTGCCTTAACGACCTTGGATATGCTGCCTTAACGACCCTGGATATGCTGCCTTAACAACCCTGGATATGCTGCCTTAACAACCCTGGATATGCTGCCTTAACAGCCCTAGATATGCTGCCTTAACAACCCTGGATATGCTGCCTTAACGACCCTGGATATGCTGCCTTAACAACCCTGGATATGCTGCCTTAACAACCCTGGATATGCTGCCTTAACAGCCCTAGATATGCTACCTTAACGGATAAAGTGAAACCAATTATCCAAGGCGATATACAATGAGAGGTGAACTTTCCTCAGTGTAAGCGGACTAAGAGATGAACCTTCCTCAGTGTAAGCACACTAAGAGACGAACCTTCCTCAGTGTAAGCACACTTAGAGGTGTGCCTTCCTCAGTGTAAGCGCACTGAGAGGTGAACCTTCCTCAGTGTAAGCGCACTGAGAGGTGAACCTTCCTCAGTGTAAGCGCACTGAGAGGTGAACCTTCCTCAAAGTAAATACACTGAAAATTAATTTTATCCTTATTAAGGTTTTGAGTTATTCTTGACTGGTGTCACACTGGTGACCTGAGGAGGTCAAAATAATAGCAAGTGAAGCATATACATCACAGTCAATTATATACAAAGAGAGATATATTGTATATCTCTCAATGCTTATACTCAAACATTCTCAAAATGATAATATTTCATTTTTAGACGATCAAATATTATTTCGAAAAAAATTTGACGTCACTAACCTCCTAAAAAATATATTCCATATTCTATTGCAAGGCATACAAAAAAATGCATAAGAAATCACTAAAATAACGAGAAAACAACTAACATTTCAATATTTTGTTCATTAATAAAAACGAACATTGCTGACCTTAACATATTCGTTGTTGAAGATGAGCACAATCATAGTGATCAGAGAAATGATCATGACAGCTTGATCACAGGAAAATACCTGGCCAATGATGTCTACGTAGGCCTGTGAAAGTAGTGTAAATTTTATGAAAATATTCTTAAGATAAATAAGGGGTCAGTCACTGTGTTCACAACACTGTGTTCACAACACTGTGTTCACAACACTGTGTTCACAACACTGTGTTCACAACACTGTGTTCACAACACTGTGTTCACAACACTGTGTTCACAACACTGTGTTCACAACACTGTGTTCACAACACTGTGTTCACAACACTGTGTTCACAACATGTGTTCACAACACTGTGTTCACAACACTGTGTTCACAACACTGTGTTCACAACACTGTGTTCACAACACTGTGTTCACAACACTGTGTTCACAACATTGTGTTCACAACACTGTGTTCACAACACTGTGTTCACAACACTGTGTTCACAACATTGTGTTCACAACACTGTGTTCACAACACTGTGTTCACAACACTGTGTTCACAACACTGTGTTCACAACACTGTGTTCACAACACTGTGTCCACAATACTGTGTTCACAACACTGTGTACACAACACTGTGTTCACAACATTCTGTTCACAACACTGTGTTCACAACACTGTGTTCACAACATTCTGTTCACAACACTGTGTTCACAACACTGTGTTCACAACACTGTGCTCACAACACTGTGCTCACAACACTGTGCTCACAACACTGTGCTCACAACACTGTGCTCACAACACTGTGTTCACAACACTGTGTTCACAACATTGTGTTCACAACACTGTGTTCACGACACTATTCACAACACTCTACACCACACTGTTCACAACACTGTGTTCACAACACTGTGTTCACAACACTGTGTTCACAATACTGTGTTCACAACATTGTGTTCACAATATTGTGTTCACAAGACTGCGTTCACAACACTGTGTTTACAACACTGTGTTCACAACACTGTGTTCACAACACTGTGTTCACAATACTGTGTTCACAACACTGTTCACGACACTATTCACAACACTCTACACCACACTGTTCACAACACTGTGTTCACAACACTATTCACAACACTCTTCACCATACTGTTCACAACACTGTTCACAACACAGCTTACAACACTGTGTTCACAACATTGTTCACAACACTGTTCACAACATTGTTCACAGCACTGTGTTCACAGCACTGTTCACAACACTGTGTTCGCAACATTGTTCACAACATTGTTCACAACACTGTTCACAACACTGTGTACACAACACTGTTCACAGCACTGTTCACAACACTGTGTACACAAAACTGTTCTCAACACTGTTCACAACACTGTGTACACAACACTGTTCACAGCACTGTTCACAACACTGTTCACAACACTGTTCACAACACTGTTCACAACACTGTTCACAACACTGTTCACAACACTGTTCACAACACTGTTCTCAACACTGCTCACAACACTGTTCACAACACTGTTCACAACACTGTGTTCACAACACTGTTCACAGCACTGTTCACAACACTGTTCACAACACTGTTCACAACACTGTTCACAACACTGTTCAAAACACTGTTCACAACACTGTGTTCAAAACACTGTTCACAACACTGTTCACAACACTGTTCACAACACTGTGTTCATAACACTGTTCACAACACTGTTCATAACACTGTGTTCACAACACTGTGCTCACAACACTGTGTTCACAACACTGTGCTTACAACACTGTGTTCACAATACTGTGCTCACAACACTGTTCACAACACTGTTCACAACACTGTGCTCACAGCACTGTGTTCACAACATTGTGTTCACAACACTGTTCATAACACTGTGTTCACAACACTTTTCACAACACTGTTCACAACACTGTGCTCACAACACTGTGTTCACAACACTGTGCTTACAACACTGTGTTCACAATACTGTGCTCACAACACTGTTCACAACACTGTTCACAACATGTGCTCACAGCACTGTGTTCACAACACTGTGTTCACAACACTGTTCATAACACTGTGTTCACAACACTGTTCACAACACTGTTCACAACACTGTGCTCACAACACTGTGTTCACAACACTGTGCTTACAACACTGTGTTCACAATACTGTGCTCACAACACTGTTCACCACACTGCTCACGACACTGTGCTCACAGCACTGTGTTCACAACACTGTGCTCACAACTCTGTGCTCACAACACTGTGCTCACAACACTGTGCTCACAACTCTGTGCTCACAACACTGTTCACAACACTGCTCACAACACTGTGCTCATAACAATGTGCTCACAACACTGTTCACAACACTGCTCACAACACTGTGCTCACAACACTGTGCTCACAACACTGTGCTCACAACACTGTTCACAACACTGTTCTCAACACTGTTCTCAACACTGTTCACAACACTGCTCACAACACTGTGCTTATAACACTGTGCTCACAACACTGCTCACAACACTGTGCTTATAACACTGTGCTCACAACACTGCTCACAACACTGTGCTCACAACACTGTGCTCACAACACTGTGCTCACAACATTGCTCATAACACTGTGTTCACAAGACTTCACAATACTGTGCTCACAGCACTGTGTTCACAACACTGCTCACAACACTGTACTCACAACACTGTGCTCACAGCACTGTGTTCACAACACTGCTCACAACACTGTACTCACAACACTGTGCTCACAGCACTGTGTTCACAACACTGCTCACAACACTGTGCTCACAGCACTGTGTTCACAACACTGCTCACAACACTGTACTCACAACACTGTGCTCACAGCACTGTGTTCACAGCACTGCTCACAACACTGTACTCACAACACTGTGCTCACAACACTGTACTCACAACACTCTGCTCACAACACTGTGCTCACAACACTGTGCTCACAGCACTTCTCATAACACTGTGTTCACAAGACCGTTATCCCGTAATTTTAGAATTACGGGATACTTTCGGTCTGTCCTACTTTCACCAGTAATCTCTGATTCATTAACACTAACTGTAAAATTATGCATAAAAATCATTAGAGAATTACTTACATATATTATTTTGAGAGGTCCTTCGAAGGAATGAACGTGAATACCAAGAATGAATGGAATCTGAGAAGTGAGAACGTGAACAGCAGCTCCAGTGGTGAAGCCGGACACTAACATGTCTGAGAGGAACACAGACAGCCTGCCCAGCTGCAACACGCCCATAGCAATCTGCAATAAGTAAATACAAATATTCAGAGGTACTTGAGTCAAATATTATGTTACTGATGGTGTACTAGTTTTGCCTCATACCTGTAGATAATACATGGCAATCTTTGCACAACTATGTTCTATCATGAACTCTTATGTATAATCTACGTTCATAGACATGTTTTCTCTTCTATGTCACGGTTCAACCTGTTTTCTAAGTAGAACATTTTCTATCACTTTTCGATCCGAGAAAAGCATCAACTTAGAGATCTGAAAGAGGTATGGAAATACCTCGTAACATTAGCCTTCTTTACCTCAATGATCTGAGGATGGTTTTCCCATTATCCAGTAACTCCCGCTGCCTCTCCCTCAAAACACACATAATGTTCAGAAATTATACATACATACATACATACATACATACATACATACATACATACATACATACATACATACACATATATACATATTTCAATATATATATATATATATATATATATATATATATATATATATATATATATATATATATATATATATATATATATATATTATATATATAATGTATATGTACATATGTGTATGTAGTAGGTAGTAGGTTGGTAGACAGCAACCTGTGGCCCGGTGGCCTGGTGGCTAAAGCTCCCGCTTCACACACGGAGGGCCCGGTTCGATTCCGGCGGGTGGAAACATTCGACACGTTCCTTACACCTGTTGTCCTGTTCACCTAGCAGCAAATAGGTACCTGGGTGTTAGTCGACTGGTGTGGGTCGCATCCTGGGGGACAAGATTAAGGACCCCAATGGAAATAAGTTAGACAGTCCTCGATGACGCACTGACTTTCTTGGGTTATCCTGGGTGGCTAACCCTCCGGGGTTAAAAATCCGAACGAAATCTTATCTTATCTTACCACCCAGGGAAGTACTACCATCCTGCCAAATGACTGTGAAACAAAAACCTGTAACTGTTTTGCATGATGGTAGGATTGCTGGTTTCTTTTTCTGTCTCATAAACACGCTAGATAACAGGGATATCTTGCTTCTCCTACTTACACTTTGGTCACACTTCACAGACACGCACATGCATATATATATACATACATCTAGGTTTTTCTCCTTTTTCTAAATAGCTCTTGTTCTTTTTTATTTCTTCTATTGTCCATGGGGAAGTGGAAAAGAATCTTTCCTCCGTAAGCCATGCGTGTCGTATGAGGCGACTAAAATGCCGGGAGCAATGGGCTAGTAACCCCTTCTCCTGTATACATTTACTAAAAAAGAGAAGAAGAAAAACTTTATAAAACTGGGATGCTTAAATGTGCGTGGATGTAGTGCGGATGACAAGAAACAGATGATTGCTGATGTTATGAATGAAAAGAAGTTGGATGTCCTGGCTCTAAGCGAAACAAAGCTGAAGGGGGTAGGAGAGTTTCAGTGGGGGGAAATAAATGGGATTAAATCTGGAGTATCTGAGAGAGTAGAGCAAAGGAAGGTGTAGCAGTAAATGTTAAATGATCAGTTATGGAAGGAGAAAAGAGAATATGAATGTGTAAATTCAAGAATTATGTGATTAAAGTAAAGGTTGGATGCGAGAAGTGGGTCATAATAAGCGTGTATGCACCTGGAGAAGAGAGGAATGCAGAGGAGAGAGAGAGATTTTGGGAGAGTTTAAGTGAATGTATAGGAGCCTTTGAACCAAGTGAGAGAGTAATTGTGGTAGGGGACCTGAATGCTAAAGTAGGAGAAACTTTTAGAGAGGGTGTGGTAGGTAAGTTTGGGGTGCCAGGTGTAAATGATAATGGGGAGCCTTTGATTGAACTTTGTATAGAAAGGGTTTTAGTTATAGGTAATACATATTTTAAGAAAAAGAGGATAAATAAGTATACACGATATGATGTAGGGCGAAATGACAGTAGTTTGTTGGATTATGTATTGGTAGATAAAAGACTGTTGAGTAGACTTCAGGATGTACATGTTTATAGAGGGGCCACAGATATATCAGATCACTTTTAGTTGTAGCTACACTGAGAGTAAAAGGTAGATGGGATACAAGGAGAATAGAAGCATCAGGAATAGAGAGGTGAAGGTTTATAAACTAAAAGAGCAGGCAGTTAGGGTAAGATATAAACAGCTATTGGAGATAGATGGGCTAATGAGAGCAAGGCAATGGGGTCGAAGAGGTATGGGGTAGGTTTAAAAATGTAGTGTTAGAGTGTTCAGCAGAAGTTTGTGTTACAGGAAAGTGGGTGCAGGAGGGAAGAGGAGCGATTGGTGGAATGATGATGAAAGAGAGTAGTAAGGAAGAAAAAGTTAGCATATGAGACGTTTTTACAAAGTAGAAGTGATGCAAGGAGGGAAGAGTATATGGAGAAAAAGAGAGAGGTTAAGAGAGTGGTGAAGCAATGTAAAAAGAGAGCAAATGAGAGAGTGGGTGAGATTTATCAACAAAATTTTTGTTGAAAATAAGAAAAAGTTTTGGAGTGAGATTAACAAGTTAAGAAAGCCTAGAGAACAAATGGATTTGTCAGTTAAAAATAGGAGAGGAGAGTTTATTAAATGGAGAGTTAGAGGTATTGGGAAGATGGAGGGAATATTTGAGGAATTGTTAAATGTTGATGAAGATAGGGAAGCTGTGATTTCGTGTATAGGGCAAGGAGGAATAACATCTTGTAAGAGTGAGGAAGAGCCAGTTGTGAGTGTGGGGGAAGTTCGTGAGGCAGTAGGTAAAATGAAAGGGGGTAAGGCAGCCGGGATTGATGGGATAAAGATAGAAATGTTAAAAGCAGGTGGGGATATAGTTTTGGAGTGGTTGTGCAATTATTTAATAAATGTATGGAAGAGGGTAAGGTACCTAGGGATTGGCAGAGAGCATGCATAGTTCCTTTGTATAAAGGCAAAGGGGATAAAAGAGAGTGCAAAAATTATAGGGGGATAAGTCTGTTGAGTGTACCTGGTAAAGTGTATGGTAGAGTTATAATTGAAAGAATTAAGAGTAAGACGGAGAATAGGATAGCAGATGAACAAGGAGGCTTTAGGAAAGGTAGGGGGTGTGTGGACCAGGTGTTTACAGTGAAACATATAAGTGAACAGTATTTTAGATAAGGCTAAAGAGGTCTTTGTGGCATTTATGGATTTGGAAAAAGGCGTATGACAGGGTGGATAGGGGGGCAATGTGGCAGATGTTGCAAGTGTATGGTGTAGGAGGTAGGTTACTGAAAGCAGTGAAGAGTTTTTACGAGGATAGTGAGGCTCAAGTTAGAGTATGTAGGAAAGAGGGAAATTTTTTCCCAGTAAAGTAGGCCTTAGACAAGGATGTGTGATGTCACCGTGGTTGTTTAATATATTTATAGATGGGGTTGTAAGAGAAGTAAATGCGAGGGTCTTGGCAAGAGGCGTGGAGTTAAAAGATAAAGAATCACACACAAAGTGGGAGTTGTCACAGCTGCTCTTTGCTGATGACACTGTGCTCTTGGGAGATTCTTAAGAGAAGCTGCAGAGATTGGTGGATGAATTTGGTAGGGTGTGCAAAAGAAGAAAATTAAAGGTGAATACAGGAAAGAGTAAGGTTATGAGGATAACAAAAAGATTAGATGATGAAAGATTGAATATCAGATTGGAGGGAGAGAGTATGGAGGAGGTGAACGTATTCAGATATTTGGGAGGGGACGTGTCAGCGGATGGGTCTATGAAAGATGAGGTGAATCATAGAATTGATGAGGGAAAAAGAGTGAGTGGTGCACTTAGAGTCTGTGGAGACAAAGAACTTTGCCCTTGGAGGAAAAGGGGGGAATTTTTGAGGTATAGTTTTCCAAACGTCTTAAGGGGTGTGAACGGGGTGTTAAATGTTGGCGGGAAAGGTGGGGGCGGGAGAGTCAGTTGAGGGAAATGGTGGTGTGAAAAAAACAGAAAATTCTATTTTGGAAGTTAGGAGGATGGGGAAATTCCAAAACTTTTTCCCAGAGGGTGGGAAGGGTTGTTGAGGTGGTTGGACATGAGAAGAATGGGAAAAACAGAATGACTTCAAGAGGTATCATCTGTAGGGGAAAGGGAAAGGGGGGTAGGGTCGCCTGGGAAAGGGTTTGGAGGGAGGGGGTAAAAGGTTTGTTGTGCGGGGGCTTGGACTTGAGGCAGGGACGTTTTGATAGGATAAGGGACAAAGGTTTTTAAATTGAAAGTGTGTTGGGGTGGAAAAAGAAAAGTTTATGAAGGGTTCAGGGAAAAAGGGAGGCCGGCTTGATCCCGGGATGGGAAGTCAGTTGCCTGCCTCTGAAGGGGGGGTGTTAATGTTGCAGTTAAAACTGGTTTTTTAAAGCACCCCTTCTGGCAAGACAGTGATGGAGTGAAGAGGTGAAAAATTTTTTCTTTTTCGGGCCACCCTGCCTTGGTGGGAATCGGCCCGTGTGATGAAAAAAAAAAAAAAATATATTTTTTATTTTTAAAAATTTTTATATTTATATATATATTAAATATATATATATATATTATATAATATATATTGTAGTATTCCCCTCTCAAAATGACTAAAGTACCGTTTTTCCCCGAAAAATTCCATTCATTAGTGCCACAAGTGCCGCTACTTGAACGGGCGGGATGTGTGAGGGCCTTGGAGCAAGGTTGGGGTTTATTCCACCCTGGGGCGACTCCCCGGGTCGGGTATACGTAATTGCTTCACAACTTTGCCAGTCAAAGACATATTAAAGCAAAGGCACCTGGAAAAAAAATTTAAAAAATTACTTGCGAAAGGGGAAACCTGTAAAGAATTCTCAGTGGAGCGTCGATCACACAAAACAGGAACCTGTTCAGTGAACTTACTGCAGAACTTAGATCAAAATCCACTTCTCAAATGGAAAATTACTTCTGTGAATATATCATTACTTATGTGAATATTCTGATGATTGTATGAAGATAATAATACTTATTTGGACGCACAGTTACTTATTGATTTAAAATATAAGAAGTAAAAAAATGTGAAATTACTGGATCTCAGAGTTTTACTGAATTATTAGTAATTTCGTGAGAATTCGGCCCGTCTGCACATTTTTTAAGAGTTAAACCTGGTAATGTCTGATGCTTAAACTAATTTATCACACCATAGGGAGTCTGCCTCACCACATATGTGCTCTACACAATAGCTGGTGCACCACACATCAGCTGGTGAAACCACACAATAGCTGGGTGCACCCCACATCAGCTGGTGCACCACATAGTGGTGCACCCACACATCGCTGGTGCACCACACAATAGCTGGTGACCACCACATCAGCGGGTGCACCA